ATCTACCATGAGGATTCCAGGAGGAGAACCATGCCTAATAAAGGATGAGAAGTCAACTTCTTCAACTTATTCACCCAAAGTCACTCTACATTTTGTTCTGCGCGCTGCAGGAGTCCCGCTCGCCTGTTTCAAAACTAATTCATCCAACCTACGGCAGGATTAGAACTCACCGTCTGCTGGTTTTTGGCCCAAAGTCCCTCTGCCACCTAGCAGGAGCGTTCCAGGCAGAGAACTGCGCCTAATACCGGAAGAGAAGTCCCCGTCTTTTAGTTACTCACCCAAACTCATTCTACTTTCTGTTTTGCGCACTGCAGAAGTGGAACTCACCTTTTAGGGGAAAATGTCATCAATCCCACTGCAGGATTAGAACTCACCATCTCCTTGTGATTATCCCAAAGAGCCGCATCCACCTAGCATGAAGATTCCAGGAGGAGAATGGTCCATGCTTAATGCTGGAAGAGAAGTCCCCGTCTTTTAGTTACTCACCCAAACTCATTCTACTTTCTGTTTTGCGCACTGCAGAAGTGGAACTCACCTTTTAGGGGAAAATGTCATCAATCCCACTGCAGGATTAGAACTCACCATCTCCTTGTGATTATCCCAAAGAGCCGCATCCACCTAGCATGAAGATTCCAGGAGGAGAATGGTCCATGCTTAATGCTGGAAGAGAAGTCCCCGTCTTTTAGTTATTGACCCAAACTCATTCTACTTTCTGTTCTGCACACTGCAGGAGTGGAACTCACCTTTTAGGGAAAGAGTTCATCAAACGTAGTGCAGAATTAGAACTCACTGCCTCCTTGTGATTGTCCCAAAGAGCCTCATACACCTACCAGGGGGGTTCCAGGAGGAGAATGGTCCATGCTTAAAGCTGGAAGAGAAGTCACCATCTTTTAGTTATTGACTTCTCATCCTTTCTTAGGCATGGTTCTCCTCCTGGAATCCTCATGGTAGATGGCTGAGAGACTTTGGGCAATCATGAGAAGTTTGTGAGTTCTAATCCTGCAGTAGGATTGATTAAATCTTCCCTAAAAGGTGAGTTCCAGTCCTACAGGAAGCACAACAGGCAGTGGAATGATGTTGGGCCAATAACTAAAAGATGGTGATTTCTCTTCCAGCATTAAACATGAACCATTCTCCTCCTGGAATACTCATGATAGATTGCTGAGAGACTATGGGCCAATATCCAGGGGATGGTGAGTTCAAATTCTACAGTTGGTTAAATGAATTCTTCTCCTGAAAGGTGAGTTCCACTCCTTTAGCCTTCAGAATAGAAAGTTGAATGACTTTGGTTGCATAACTGAAAGATGGCGACTTCTCTTCTTGCTTTAGGCATGGACCATTCTCCTCCTGCAATCCTCAAGATAGGTGAATGATGGACTTTGGGCCAATATCAAGGGGATGGTGAGTTCAAATTCTGCAGTTGGTTAAATGAATTCTTCCCCCAGGAGATGAGTTCTAGTCCTACAGGAAGCACAACAGAAAGTAGAATGCCTTTGGGCAAGCAGCTAAGAAACAGTGAAATCTCTTCCTGCATTAGGTTCAGTTCTCCTCCTGGAATGTTCCTGCTAGGTTGATGTGGCTCTTTGGGACAATCACAAGGAGGTGGTGAGTTCAAATACTGCACTACGTTTGATGAATTCTTCCCCTAAAAGGTGAGTTCCACTCCTGCAGTGCGCAGAACAGAAAGTAGAATGACTTTGGGTGAATAAGTTAAAGATATTGACTTCTCATCCTTAGGCATGGTTCTCCTCCTGGAATCCTCAAGGTAGATGTCTGAGAGACTTTGGGCAATCAAGAGGAGTTTGTGAGTTCTGATTCTGCAATGGGATTGATTAATTCTTCCCTAAAAGGTGAGTTCCAGTCCTGCAGGAAGCACAACAGACAGTTGAATGATGTTTGGTCAATCACTAAAAGATGGTGACTTCTCTTCCAGCATTAAGCATGGACCATTCTCCTCCTGGAACGCTCCTGACAGGTGGCAGAGGGACTTTGGGACAATCACAAGGAGGTGGTGAGTTCTAATCCTGCAGTAGGATTAATGAAATCTTCCCTAAAAGGTGAGTTCCAGTCCTACAGGAAGCACAACAGGCAGTGGAATGATGTTTGGTCAATCACTAAAAGATGGTGACTTCTCTTCCAGCGTTAAGCATGGACCATTCTACTCCTACAATCCTCATGATAGGTTGCTGAGAGACTTTGGGCGAATAGCCAGGGGATGGTGAGTTCTAATTCTGCAGTTGGTTAGATGAAATCTTCTCCTGAAAGGTGAGTTCCACTCCAGCAACACACACAGCAAGACCATTGAATGACTTTGGTTGCATAACTAAAAAATGTTGACTTCTCTTCTTGCTTTAGGCATGGACCATTCTCCTCCTGGAATCCTCATGCTAGGTGGATGAGGCTCTTTGGGTCAATCAGAAGGAGATAGTGAGTTCTAATCCTGCAGTGGGATTGATGACATCTTCCCCTGGATATTCGCCCAAAGTCTCTCAGCAACCTATCATGAGGATTCCAGGAGGAGAATGGTCCATGCTTAACGCTGGAAGAGAAGTCACCATCTTTTAGTTATTGACCAAACATCATTCCACTGCCTGTGGTGCTTCCTGTAGGACTGGAACTCACCTTTTAGGGAAGATTTAATCAATCCTATTGCAGAATCAGAACTCACAAACTCCTCATGATTGCCCAAAGTCTCTCATCCACCTAGCATGAAGATTCCAGGAGGAGAATGGTCCATGCCTAAAGCAAGAAGAGAAGTCAACATCTTTTAGTTATGCAACCAAAGTCATTCAATGGTCTTGCTGTGTGTGTTGCTGGAGTGGAACTCACCTTTCAGGAGAAGA